CTAAATCGACCTGTGGCGTTTGAGATGAGCCTGAACATGCATATAAACCATGTACAAAAACCATCTCAAACGCCACAGGTCGATTTATAAACCATGTACAAAAACCATCTCAAACACCACAGGTCGATTAAGCACTCATGCAGATTTATTCCGCGGCCAGTGCCAAACACAGGTCGACTTATTCGTTATAACTCAACAGAAATACATGAAAAATGTGAACAATAAACCACTAAAGAAGACCCGGTTCGAACGCTTGAGAATTATTTTGGTAAGCACTACTTTGCCGGAAATTTTCTGAACTGTATACCTCCATTAAATTGCATGAAATATTGATAATATGCACTTAATTCAGACGTAACTATATATACAAATTAGAGCACGATAAATTTGGCAAAAAGGACACGTAAAACATTCCAAAATTGTAATCAGCCTGTACGTAATAAAGAAAACACACAACAAAAACTTATTATAACGAAACACTTCCAGGCTAAATTATAACGCTAAGCCACTGAATGACTTAATCAAGTCTGAACCAGCCTCGCACGGTGCCCTCGTAAGATACGAAACCCATTTTCCTTCGGATATTTCTGGTGATGCAGCGTTCGACCTGTGGCGTTTGAGAAGTAACATCGACGCGTAGTGCACGTCGTGTACATGTACATGTACACACCACCATGATTGTTGGAGGCTTGTGTTTTATTCTTCGATGTCATTATCACGTACAGTACAGCTAGACTGTACGTGATAATGAACGTCGATCGTTGCAACAAATACAAAATTACAATTAACATAACCATGATAACCGTTAGTATCCCTCTAAATTACCATTGCCCGCTACTTACACTCGTATCAGCCTCTGATTAATACCTCTATCCACCGGTATAACAGTGATTTGACCTTCGAAAATTCCGAAACTATAAAAAAATCCGTTGTTTCTGGAGACGTATCGTTGTCACATGAATCTGACAAGTGACAATCGGACTAGACTGCAAAGAATGCGCACGCGTAGTGTGTGAACAATCTCTCTCTCTCTTTACTATTGGAAACCAGGTTGGAAATAAAGTAAGCACTGGGGACGAGGTTGGTTTCATGTGTGCACTGAACGAATTCCCACTGAACTAATTCAAGCCCCCATTGAAAACAGTGTAAAATTAACTAAGTTCAGGGACAAAATTAATAACATGCAAGCCGACCACCACGGGGGCTTCTCAAACAAAAATGTAAATTATTGTCTTCATCTTTTTATTTCTGTTCAATTTTAGGTACATTAGCCAATTATTTTTTTAAATATTTACACCAAAACAAAATAAAAGTGCATCCTTCCTGCTGCGACTGATTTGTCAGGCAAATAGGACACAATTTTCAACCTTAATTTTATCAAGCCTGCCCTCAGATATAGATAGAAAGAAGCCCAAAAATCAGGGAGGTGATCCTCGGCTATATTTACACAATCCTACCGATTTGAAAGCCAAGCGATCTCCGTTTTCAAAGGAAATTGTGTGTGTGGGGGGGGGGTACTGTTTATGCTAATGACACGCGTATAAATTCTCACTTGAACTAGTGCACTGCACCCTATAAAAATATCGATTTTAATTACCTGACACAAAATGAATATTAAAAAGATCAAGAATTAATCAAAGACCTCAATTAAAGAAAAAAACGGACAAAATT